TAATAAAGGTTAGATTAGAACTTTCTACAAAACGTCAAAACATGAAAAATTATAATAGATGAAGTTTGAATAAAAATCTTACCCATTTCCAGTATTAAATGAAAAAAAAAACAATTTTTCTGTATCTGTGTTGGTCATAAATGTACGGACAAAATACTCTTTGACACCATCTGGTTGTTGTTGGATTAATAGTGCGTTGATATTGTTTGGAGATAAGAAGGAGAATCTTTGGTCCAATTGACGCGGGCGCATCAAGTTGGAATACATGAAACTTAAATAAAAACATCATTAACATTAAGATCATTCATTGGAATTAGTAGATAAATTATTCAATAAAAACAAAATAAAGTTGATCGGAGAATGCCTGATGTATGTATTGACAACACCGAGGCCTAATTCTTCATGTCTAAGAATTTGATCCACATCCTCTCTACTTATTGTTTCATAATAGGAAAAACCAAAAATACCTTCCTCCATAGGTATATTACGAGCACATCCGTTGGCCAAATCTGAAATTCCCATTAATGTTTGAAGACACGACCTATACCGAGAAGTAGGCTTTTTTCTAGCTGTAGACTTTGCCACATCCTTTGTTTATGCGGATATATTGCTAATTTCAGGCTTCTTACTCATATGGACTTGTTGCATGTCTTTAACATGAATCTAAAGATCAAATGCATATAATAAGTTAGATGAAGTATAAGATCATGAATTAACCTTTTTTATGCATAATATATATATCAATTTACATCCTTTTAGATGCAACTGAATCGGTCTGCGGCGTAATCCCCTTATCTTTTGATTTGGATTTTGTGGGAGTCTAACATTACCATTAAAAAAGTACGTTAAATGGTCGTAAAAAATTTGAATACTCAATGGTTCATAATAGTTTTCGACGCTGCAAATGTTAACATACCTCATCATCTATGCAAATGAGACTTGACGGCCATGCAACATAAGATCATATTGCCTCTCCCACCAATGCAAAAACCACATGCCACACAAAGCACAACATAATGCAACATTATAAACATTAAATAAACACTAAATCAACAATATCAACACTATCAACTAAGCCAAATGCAACATTATATATCAATATTATCAAATATATCAAAAATTATACCCAGAGGAGAAGAGAACTTTGGTTGTGAATGGAAGAAAGGATGAGAATTGTCTTGAATGGAAGAAAGGATGAGAACCTTGATTGTGGAATAAATAGAATCTATTTTCGTTGAGAATCAAACAAAAAAATGGAAGATACAATTGAAGAAGGTTACTGTGCGTGTGCGCGAGAGGAGAGAAAAAACCTATTTTCTGGAAATAATAACGTTACTGTGATACTGAGCGTGTTTTATTTTTTTTTTATGACAGAACTTTAGACATCGCTTTCAAAAGCGTTGCGTAAGCCCATCCTTAGCCAACGCTTCTATTAGGAAGTGTTACTTAATCTCCCCTTTTAGGCAGCGCTTCTACAAAGTGCTGCTTAAGCCCACCCTTTAGACAACACTTTTAAAAAGCGCTCTGTAAGCCCACCCTTTAGGCAGCGCTTCTCCAAAGCGCTACAGTATCTATCCTCTTTAGCAACGCTTTATCAAACCATATTCACCCCCCTTTAGGCAGCACTTTGTAAGCCCACCCTTTAGGCAGTGCTTCAGTACCTACCCCCTTTAGACAGCGCTTAAGTACCTACCCCCTTTAGGGAGCGCTTTATCAAACCACATTCATCCTCTTAGGCAGCATTTTTTTAGAAAGCGTTGTCTAAGGTATACGACCAAATTCCCGTGTTTTTAAAATGGATATTTAGCAGCGCTTTTGATAAGAAACATTGTCTTATGTGTGCTGTCTAATCTTATTTTTGACATAATGAAAAATAATAATAATTAAATAAATAGGCGCATAATAATAATAGTTAAAATAACAATAATAATAGTAATTTAAATAACAATAATAACAATTATGATATTTTAAATAATAACAACAATAATTATAACAATAAAAATAATAATTAAATAATTATAAGAAGATCCGATGTTAACCTCGGTCAAACCCCCTACATAAAAGTCTAATGGGCCTTCAAAAAAATTTAAAGGATTACTTAGATTGTAATGATAAGCCTATTAAAGAAAATTCACCCCGTTTTTCATTTTTACCCTATTACCTTTAAACAACTCCTAATGTAAATTAATAAAATCAAAATATAATAACACTAAAATTAATAGAGAAATAATTTATAAAAAATAATTGATCATTATTAATACGACAAATTTAAAATATGACAGTTAGTTAGTTTGTGAAACTTATTACTGCAAATGAATTCGATGGTAGAAAAATATCAGACAAACAATTAAAAGACACATTTAAGCGAAAAAACTTTTAATCAATAGACTATTTTACTTTTAATCATATTTTTCACGGTACTCCGATATATGGAATTGCATAGAAAATATATATCAGAATAAATAAACAAAGAGCAATTAAATCAAAAGAACCCTACCACCACACTAAATAAAGATTAACTACTTACTGGGAGACTGACGTTATATGCCCCTTTAATTCAGTATCGAGATAACAACTATATCACATTTCACATTGCCTAATACCTGGTTGATAAAATTTGACAGAAAATTTGGTGAATAAGTTGCACAGGGTCTGATTAGAAATTTTTATTATGAAATATAGATTTCCATGATAACAACAACTACAAAAAAAAAAAAGTACCAACATCAAGTAAGGGGTTTCACGGGATTTTCATTTTCCCAGTATCAGTGTAGTAGCATAGCTTCAATTTGATAAATATCATATTTCGATATAAACACTAATTAGCATATATATATATATATATATATATATATATATATATATATATATATATATATATATATATATAAAACAGTTTTAAATATAATACATTAGAATCTCTTTGAAATCAATAAAAAATAGCTTTTACCAACATACTTTGAAATACTACTCCATTACAATTTAAACACTACACATGAGTCTCGACATAGATAAAAAAAGTTATAAATCCAAACGAAAGTTGTGAAACAATCCAAAAAGAAATAAGTTTCTGCAGGAGGTTTCTACAAAGTTAAGTGTGATTATAAGCAACTTGATGTTCATTCAAGAAGGGATTAATATTTAGTGTGCATTTGATGTTCATTCAAGAAGGGATTAATATTTAGTGTGCATTTGATTCAATGATTCGAAAGAGATTTTAGAAATAAATAATTCAAGAATAAAAATAAGGAGGTTTGATTTCTGGGTACTTTTAAGAAAATGTGTTTGGCATATTATTTAATATTTTTAGGAAAATTAGTAGTTATATTTTTTAATAAAAAAATTATGTGAAAGTTTATGGGAATAAACATTTTCACCTTCTTACATTGGAATGAAATCATTAAAATTATAGAAGTTATTGAAAGTTATTTTATTTTTTGGAACTTTTATATCTAGAAATAAATTTTCTTCAAACTTTTTTTTTTACAAAACCAAACTCAATACATTTTATTATTCAATACAAAAGGGATTCATATTCATAGTACTACGTCTAGTCTAAGAATTGATCGCCTTTGCAAGAGAATAGGCAATCGAATTCGCTTGACGCATAATAAACTTCATCTCGAAATTAGAAAAAACAAATAATAAACTTCTAATGAACATAATAATTAAACTAAATTTGAATCACACTTATGATTGAAATGGATAGCTTGAACCACCTCTTGAGAGTCACTTTCAAAAATAACATTATTCAAGTGCAAAGCTATAGTTCCGCGAATAGCTTCCTTGAGGGCCAAAGCTTCAGCTTCTAAGATGGAAAGGGTACCAAGATCCCAAGCTACACCTGCAATAATGAAATTCCCAATGTTATCTCACACACATCATCCCCTATTTGTAGTTTCATAGTGATTATTAAACCCAGCATCGACGTTGCACTTTAACTACCCTTCTGATGGCGGATTCCAGTTATTGATATGATGATGATTGTTCTTGCTTTCCTGATCTCTTTAGGTCATAGACCATTCTTGCCAATTATGAAACACAATCATTCCAAGTTTGGTTGCTTCCTCCCTCTCATTATGCCAAATAAGATCATTTTTATTTTCCCGTATCACCTTCATCATAACTGCAAATCTACTTGCAACCTTCCTCTCTTCCGAGCTACATATATCAAGAATGAGGGACTTAGAGTCACTAAAAGAAGGAAATCGGTGTTCTAAGATATCCGACAAACCTGATGTTCGCCAACACTGAATAGTCGCATCATAACCAAAGAAAACATGACATTCATCTTCCTTATTATTCTCACACAACAGACAAACTGACGGGCAAGGGACGAAATGTTGACGAAGTCTTGTATACTTCTGTAAACAACTTCTACAAATTCTCTATAAAATATGTTTAACTCTAGGTGGAACTTTCACATTCCATAGACTAGACCAATCATCCTCTTTTATAGTATTAGGTTGCCTCATATGCGATCTCCTTCACATTCTATAACCATAACACACATTGGACACCCCATTTTGCTCTTCTATCCAAACCATCCTATCTTTGATACGCCAATGATATCCTGATGATGGGTAAAAAGAAATGGGATAATGTGTGAAAAATTAAAGCAATATTACATTTATTTGAATTAGCATTTGTATTGAAGTGTCAATTTCTATAAAAGTCTACTGGTTGGACTTAATGTGTATCAGTTATGAACTTGCTTTTGCTAATGTATTACATAAAGAGAAATTACATTAAAAAAGGCTAAACTATTCTAAAACTAACTTTTCCATTAATTTCATTGATGAAAATTACATTCACTAATCACCTATTTATAACATTAATATCAACCAATTTCTCACTATCTAAATATTTCTAAAGAGTAGTGACTCACGACTATTAATCATAATGGACTTATAGAGCTTAGGCTTTGATCATTATATTCCACCAATCTAAGAAAACCACCTTATCCTCAAGATGTAATCCAAAAAAATAGTAACAATGCTCTAACTTATAATTAAATGAAAGATCAAAACTACTAGATACCCCCTCCATTTATTAGCCCAAAAAGCATGGCATGAAATCGATGCCGAAGAATTGAAATCGCTCAAATCTCCACCAATATCAAAGAAAACAATGGCAACGAGGTAGAATTTCAAGAAAGTATACTCTAGATTGGAGGTTAAGAGCGATGATTTTGAAGGAGGTGGAAGTGATGGTGTTTCCGCCATGGCTACGATGCAAGCAGCTTTGAACAATCCACCTGTATTTAGATGGAACAATAAACACTTATCCATTTATGGGTGAATAGTCCTCTTGAAATCACTCTTGTATGCATTACTAGTCTTCTTTTCTTTCTTTAAGATACCGTCAAATTCTCAAACTTGAATCTCTTCAAAAAATTCTTGCGAGGATTCTAGCCAAATTCTTGTGTGTCAAGACAAAAGTGAGGGAGATTGGGTATTAAGAACTTTAAAGCGTTTATTTTAGCATTATTAGTTAAATGGAAGTGGAGAATACTTTCAGATAAAAATTAGACTATGGATGAAGCATATCTGTAAAAGAAAAGTGGAAAAAAGTAAAATGAAAATTCATTACATCAAAGAGTATGCAAGACTTATTTAGTCAATGAGAAGAATAACTAATTAGTGTAAACAACTAGTATATGTGAATTTTACATCAAATAATTTGTTACTACTTGAGGGTCTAGAGTTTCACTCCAAAACTCCAGAAATAGCAGATGATGAAGACTTAGAATAACGTTCAAGCAATGACAATACCTTAGCAGCTTTCCTTCTGAGATGACCATCTCCATATATATTATTTCCAGTCAAGCAAACTAGTCGCGATCTCGCCGTCACTCCATAGTATTCCACCATTTCCTTTGACACAAAAACCTTCTCCAAAAGTCCTAAAGCTTCTGCCTTAAGTGACTCACTACCCCAATTCAAAATCTCCAATAAAGGTCTCATTGCATTTGACTCATGCAACAAACGAGCACCTCGATGTGGAAACTCCTCCAAAACTAAAGTAGAAAGTGTTTGTATTGCTTCAAAAGCAGTTGCATGAACCTCTCCTTGTAACAGCTTTATCAAACCAGGTAAAGCATCTGCTTCCAAAAGACAGAATGTGGTTGTCGCGCTGCATATGCTGTCGTGCGCAGGGCATAAAGGAATACGTGATGGTCTGCAAAACCAGCAGCCGGTTGGTTTTGAAACATCTGTTAGCTTTGGAGTGCTCATAGAAAGATCGCCGATGAAAGCTGCTGCTATTGCCTTTGCAGTGATTGAACCAGTGTTGAGAAAGTTTACAAGCAAAGGATATATTCCGCGTTTAACTAAATCACGTTGTGACTCGATGTTTGTAGGATCCGTGAACCTGAAGAGTGCGCTGAGAGCGTGTTCTTTTGCTTCCATTTTGCCAGTTTTTAAAATGCTTATGATTGCATCAAGTCCTCCCATTTCAATCAACTTTGATGTTAGTTCTCTTTCTGATTTCGGTAGGTTGGCTAGTAAACCGGCTGCAGCCATTTGTACGTTATCGTTGTCATCATTCTCAAGAAATCCAATCAAAGCTTCTAGCCTCCTAGGCTTGAAGAGGTATTCAACTACTCCTTCTGGTTCATGCTGTGAGAAAAGAAAGAGCAGGTTTATCGCAGTCTCTCGGATTTCCGAGTCAGGATCATCAAGAAGTGGAAGAATTAGAGATACACCATTGGCTGCAAGAATTGCTTTCTTCACGAAACCAGTCTCAAATTTGCAAATGCCGAGGAGAGCGCGTAGCATGGGCTTACGGAGGTTGGGGCCTGAATTCGAACTCTGTTGCAAATGTAGCAAATTGGTGATGATGGAATCTAACTCAAGTTGTTTCCCTTCTCCATCAACAAAGAAATCAATTCCATCATCGGAAGAAGAAAGTTTCTCAAGAATTTCGGAGCATTTAATGGTAATGAAAGCCCTTGTCCTAGGAGAGAACAATAAGTCTAGAATAAGAGGAACACCTCCCGAGGAAGCAATAACTCCCTTGTTGGCATGAGATCCGGCTAACTTAACAAGGGCCGATAATGAAAGGTCTTTCGATTCGATACTTCCGGACAGCATTTCGATCAAAGGAGTTATAACTCCTTCCTTGCCAAGTTGTATCAAGTTTAAATCATCCAACTCCAAGTTAACTATCACTTTTGCCATCGACATTCTTGAATCCGGTCCTGCAAAGAGAACAAAAATAAGAATAGTTAACATTCATCTCGTCACAAAAAACATATTGCAAGTCTGCAACCAGAAAACATTCCACCTTCTTACCTCGAATCATGCGATCAGCTAGTGGCTTATGCCAGCCACAATTAGCAGCAGTGATAATGCTGCTTTCATTTATTTCAAAAAGCTCCTTTAAAATCTTCTGCGCAACCTCGGTTGAATCATTTCCAGGGTCCTTTACAAGAGTTACAAGGAAAGGAACTGCTGTGACGTTCTCAGAAAGTTTTTTGCAAAAACATTGATTCCAACCAGATCGGTCTTGAAGCAACTCATATAACAAATCAATTGCTGCCTTCGAAATGTTAGAGTTGCTTTCTAAGCACAAAATGATATGATCCCATCCTTGTGATTCAGCCAATTTCTCCTATAATATGTCGAATTCATATTAGTCTTCACGATTGCACGTTTGACATATTCATAATAGTATTGCAAGAAAGAAAAAAGAAAAGCATGTTTACCTTGTTTCTTGCATGCCCCTCTACAGCAACCTTCAAAGTGATCAAAATCTTCATCTTCACTTCTCTGTCATTAGAGTTCCCGAGGATCGAGATGACATTATCAGTAAGCTCTCCAATAGAGATCCAATCCTTGTTAATAGAATTCTCAGCTATTAGAGCCTGCATTTGGCTTAAGGACTCTTGCAGATTAGAATTCGATAACAAATTCTCCCTGATAGACCTTATCAGAAGACAGTAATTAAGTTCTCTCCACTCTTCAATCGATTGTCTTATCGGAATATTAGACTTCAAGCTAGTATCATCAAGAACCTCTTTCGTTTTCGGATCCATTCTGTTTCCATCGTAAAACCAACCTTCAATGGCTGATCTCTCACATGTTGTACCTGTGTTAAGGCTAACAGGATCAACCATAACCGCTCCCGTTATACAGCAAAGAAACGAATTAAGCGGTAGGATATATTTTTCCCTCGAATCATATCTTTCTATCACTTGTACCCTTTCAAAGTATTGAATCTTAACTTCTTCATAATCCCTGGCTGCATCGGCCCTAGAGAGTAACTTAATGATCTGCTCCAAGATAACGAATTCAGCCTTTTCTTTCCTATTAGCAGCCTCTTCTTTTTCCTTCCTAATACTGGCCAACTCCTTTCCTATCTCAGACGGTTCCATGGGAACTCCAACCGCCATTGCAATCTCCTCAAGTATATCATTCGCGAAAGCCTGATCTTGTTTCTGATCTCTTAAACCTTGGTTCAGCTTATCAACAATCTCAAGCTGAGATTGCGAAGCCTCAAACTCAACTCTCTGCATCTCATCTTGTAATCTATCAACCTGATCAGAAATCCTCGACAGCACTTCAGTATTCGCAATCGACAGTGCAGCTAAAGACCTTCCAATATCCCTTGTGACTTGCTCCACTTCCTCGACTATCGAACGACACTTAACTAGTAAGTAGAAACGGCCGCGATTCTTGTATTTCGCGATCAAAGTATTGGCTCTTTTAACATCTGCTTCGAGGGACTCTAGAGCAAATCTTGCAGGTTGAGAATCATTCAGTTCTTGACGCTGTAACTCCTTTAGTACTGGCTCGATATCGAATAGATATTTCGAAAGTGCCTTGAAACTCTCTTTACCGATAAGAACATCGGCTGCAGCATGAGCTGTTCTCAATACTTGGTTTGTTACCACAGTTAGAATTGTACCTATTGGTATGAGTTCCAATCCTACCATTGTGTGAGGATAATAATTGAAAGAAGAGAATGGGAGAATTAGCTTACACAAGTTTCTAACTGGGGAGAGAATGTGGATCAGAGAAGAAGAGGTGATTGTGGGTGTTATTTGGTAAGAGAAGACTTGAGGAAAAGACTTGGAAAGTATGTAGCATTTTCTGATATTTGTGTTTAATTTGAGAGGTGAACAATAGACTGAGTATGTTTTTGTTGAGTATAGATCGGTTTCAATTATTTAATGTTATAGTATTAGTTTTTCAATTTGTAAGGAGGGTTTTACACGGTTTGAAAAAGGTTCACACCAATCAGTGTCACACATTTTCCTTTCCTTCCAAGTTTAAGAGAATTTCCTACCCCCATCCCATATAGAAAAGGGACATTCTATGTAATTCTAAAATTGCTCTTTGGAAAATCATAAATGTATTTCTGGTTTGCATTATATTTTACATAAAACAGATCAAATGTGATTTCACCATTCAAAATACATAAAATGATATTGGAGGTATATTTCCGATTCTAAATTGGAATTCTGTTTCCGGTTCTATTAGCGGAAAGATTGAATTTTGTTAGCACCTTGATATTTTATATATAATTGGAAGTATAATTCTGATTTTATGGACGATGCAGGTTACTTAAAACAGTAACCAGTATGGTCATGTTTGATCACCACCATTTCTTCTTTCTTTCCTTAAAACCTCTAAAAAAACCTTCATCATTCTCTGTCCATTTTCCACTCCAAATCATTATTTTTGTAGTTCATCATATCATAAAGAGCTCAAGGAAGTAGAATTTCAAGTAAAGTTTATTCATTTCAACCCTCATTCCCTACATTAATCTGTTATTTTCTGTAGAAAAAGGTTACGTACAAATCGGATGTATACTTCCGGTTGTTAGTTAAACAGAACCAGAAGTTAACTTCCGGTTTCTGTCTATGTTTATTTTGACAGCAATATGTCAATGTGACATGTTAATAAATTTTGTGTTTTATCTAACATTAGGTATGGTGCATCCCGATAACATTTCCAAACTCGATGTATCTCAAGTTGTTTCGCCTCTCGTAGTTTCTCCTCTCGTAATTAAGCTGGTAGATGTTCGTGAGCAATTTGAAAATGTAGATGCATTTGAATTACACGAAGACATGTTGCAGTGGATTCATATAGAGGCTACGAAATTAGGATTTGGTGTTGTGATTCGAAGATTCAATAATGGTACGGATAGAAGAAATATATTTGTGATTTTGACATGCGAAAGAAGTGGGAAATACATGCATCGTATCCAAATTTTGAAACGCGACGACACCGGTTCAAGAAAATGTGAATGTCCATTTAGGTTGTGTGGTTATCTTATGGAAAAT